CCAAAACAAACAAACAGAACTGGTAAGAATATTATCCTATAATAAGTAGTTATCATATCTGGTTCTTAATTAAACAAAATGTATAGTTCTTAAGATTTTAACACTGTGATATTTATTGTTTTATGGCGTAAAATATCGAATATCCGAGAAGTCTACACACTGTATAAAACAGAGATTTAAACGATTAAGTCAAGTTGAAGTGTTCTGCGGTATCTCGAACATCTGAACAACGTAATAATGAATGTATAATCTATCAGCTTTCAAATGAGTTTTATCGTGTATATTGTTTTTACCGTTGCAGAAGAGAGATGATTTTAAACTGTCAAGGAAACTTGAGAATTTTCCCTTTTGACAATCCAAAGTGCCCTTTTGCTTACGAAAGCGGTAAGTGTGATCATATTTCTTAACATAAAATCCGTTCTAAGATCTATTATTGTTACTGTAAAAATAGCATGGAAATATTACGTGGGTAAGATGCAGAGAAACATATGTTAAAAACTCCCAACGTCTTTGTTACGGAATTATAATATGTTGTGATTAAGATCGCAAGTCAGAAACCGTTATGTTTTTTCAACTGTTTTAGTTAGAAACAGTTAAGTTTATCCTCAACTGTTTCAGTTAGATACCGTTATGTTTGTTCTGAACTATTTTAGTTAGAAACCATTAGGTCTATCCTTAACTGTTTTAGTTAAAAACCGTTAGGTTTATCCACAACTGCTTTAGTTAGAAACCGTTGTTTGTTCTCAACTATTTTAGTCAGAAACCGTTATGTTTTTCTCAACTGTTTTAGTAAGAAACCGTTATGTTTGTTCTCAACTATTTTAGTTAGAAACCGTTAGGTCTATCCTTAATTGTTTTAGTTAGAAACCGTTAGGTCTATCCTCAACTGCTTTGGTTAGAAACCGTTATGTTTGTTCTCAACTATTTTAGTCAGAAACCGTTAGGTCTATCCTCAAGTGTTTTAGTTAGAAACCTTTAGGTTTATCCTCAACTGTTATATTTATGATTCGTTATGTCTTTTCTCAACTGTTTTTTAGAATATGAGAATTATAATTATTGAGTAATCTGGTAATTTAGATTTGTGAAATATGTGCTTATATTAATATCGAACGGTTGTTCTTTGATTATTGTAATCTGTTTTATTTATTAGTTTTCTGTAATAACAAACTTTTACATCTGTTTTATTTCTTAGTTTTGTGTAATAACAAATTTGTACATCTGTTTCATTTCTTAGTTTTCTGTAATAACAAACTTGCATGTCCAAGTTTGTTATTACAGAAAACTAATAAATAAAACATATGTACAAATTTGTTATTACAGAAAACTAAGAAATAAAACAGATGTCCAAGTTTGTTATTACAGAAAACTAAGAAATAAAACAGATGCCCAAAGTTGTTATTATAGAAAACTAAGAAATAAAACAGATGTACAAAGTTGTTATTATAGAAAACTAAGAAATAAAACAGATGTCTGTTTTATTTCTTAGTTTTCTGTAATAACAAACTTGGACATCTGTTTTATTTCTTAGTTTTCTGTAATAACAAACTTGAACATCTGTTTTCACAAATTCAGCTGAACTCTTAGTGAATGAACGTTTTTATCAATCATGAAAAATTCAACTAAACTTGAAGTACCTTGATTTTGTTCTTATTGCAGTGTTCCAAACTTAAAAAAAAATTGAGAAGTTTCAATACAGGTTGCAACGTTTGGTATTTGTCGTGCTGTTTTACTAAACATCATTTAAGACTTTACAAAAAAAACCGTCACTGAACTTACGTTTAAAACCAATAGACAGTTTGATTCCTACAGAACAAAAGTCATCATAAAGGGTTTAAAAACCATTGTCCGGAACGTCAAAGGTGTTGTTTTTTGTTTGTCAATAAATAGTGTCTAACGAAAAGACGGAGGTAAAGCTGCAATGGTCCTCCACAGAAAAGAACATAATCAACGCTACATCCCTGAGGAAACACAACGCTTACTTGGTGAAAAACGATACAGGAGATTGTGACAGGAGATACACCTGGCGAGGCAAGTGGGTTTTATTTCATCATAAAGAAAAAAAATATTGTTGTTGTTGTTGGATTTCGTACAAAGCTACACGAGGTTTATTTAACGCTGTCCATCCCTAATTGTGAAACGCAGTTCGAAACAAATTATTCTCTGAAAGGAGCAGGGTGTGATCGAGTGGTTAGTGTGCTCAGATTGTGAATCTGGGATTTCGTTGTTCGGGTTTCGTTGTCACAAAAGCATGCTCCTTACTTTGGCTTAGTGGGTGTGTTATAAAAGTGACAGTCAAATCCACCTATTCAGTAAGACAAGAGAAGTCCATGCGTTACCTCAATGCTACTAACTGGTTACCTTCCTTCTAGGCTATCAGTTCGAAACCGGACCCCGGCATGGCCTGGTGGTTAGGGCGCTCGAGGAATCTGAGGGTCCGGGCTTCGAATCCCCGTCCCACCAAACATGCTCGCCCTTTCAGCTGTTTGGGGGCGTTTTAATGTGACGGTCAATCCCACTATTTCGTTGGTAAAAGAGTAGCCCAAGAGTTGACGGTGGGTGGTGCTGACTAGCTGCCTTCCCTCTAGTCTTTTACTGCTAAATTAGAAACGGCTAACGCAGATATCCCTCGTGTAGCTTTGCGCAAATTCCAAACAAACCAAACCAGTTCGAAACTTAGAGGCAACTGCACATAAATAGAGGTCTTGTGTAGCTTTGCTGGAAAATTCTAAACAGATAAATATCTGTAATTATTGTCATGGTTACTAGCTTACACGATCACCTTAAATCTGATTGTTAGCGAGAATTATATATATATATATATATAATACTTAAATGGTAAGTAATTTATCCTACGTTTCGGCTGCTGTTATCAGGGATGTCCTGAGAAGGACTATTTCTGTGTTGTTAGAGGCCATGGTTATGTATTCTGCATATATCTTTCTGAAATCAATTGATCCTCTCCTACACGTTCTGAAAATATTTGAGGAATTAGCGGCTGTCACTACTTTTATATCCCATGTCTTAAGTTTCTCAGTATGGAAGTGCTACACGTTATCATTTACTTTGAGTATTGTTGTTATTTTCCTGGTAGAAAATTACGTAATCGGCTACGTGCCCTCAGTTCTCATTGCACTGTAGGTCAATAACTTCCTGCTTACCCACCGCGAACTTTACTTTGAGAACCAACCGTTTCTGACACTAACTGTTTTCTCAACACTTTCATAGATGGCAGCAGCTTATTATAATTACCTTTTTTAAATACTTCAGAACTAATAAATGAGAAAATTAAATATTTTTGGCATGTTATTTCTTTTCTAAGACTTTCACAGACAGACGACGTTAATGAATCAGTAATGACTAGTTAAGCTTTACTATTATTTTTTTTTAAATTGGGCACTAAGGTGTTTGGTGTTTTTAGTCTTATCGGCGTTCACATAAGTGTGATGTACAATTCACGAAATGAGTTTGCATACTAATTCCGCTGTTTTTGTGTGTGTGCAATGGCCCCCTAGTGGCTCAACGATAAGCCTGGGTTTCGATACTCGTGGTGGGCACAGCAAAGATAGCCCATTGTGTAGCTTTGCGAACAAAATCGTTGCAATGATTTTTGTAAAAATATTATCAAATGACCCAAAGTCATTTGTCAGTTAGTTTGTCCGCAATTCCCTCAATGTACAAAAGATACCTGGTGTCCAGAATGTACCAAAAAAGCTCGCAGATGTTCTTGGTTTCGACAATAGATGTCGCGATCGAGTATAATTATGCTAATCTTGTCTTAACGAGAAATTAAAGGGATCCGATATTAACAGTAACACTTTACAAAAAATTATTTTAATAGATACCATAGTTCGATTTTAAGAGCCATCTGTATTTTTTATTACTGAACGTTGTTTATCTCTCCAAGCTTATGCCTCAGTTTGTGGTGTGTTTTTTTATTGAACTAAACAATCCCACTTTTATTTCATCAAACTCTTTCATCTTAGCCGCACTAGTCAGAGCTGGATTAAAATCTGTCTGACTCTGGTTGACTCTGGTCAGGTAATCATTCGTTTATATTCTACCTTTATCTCCATGGACAAGAGGACTAGTTCGCTGGTTCTCCAGTTCTTCTGTATGATAGTAAAGCTAATTCAAATATAATAATAACAAATTGTTAAATAATTGGTGCTAAAATATACTGAATAATAAGGTGTTATGAACCCTTACTCTTCAAATCTGATCAGTAAGTGACTTAAACAGAACTGTTAATAGTTACACTTAAGTGACTTAATGTACTTCACACCATAACAGTCGTTGTTCATGAAAGTTAATGATATAAGTAAAGCCTAGACCAGTATTATGTCTGTCGTGTCCCATAAGACCCGAGGAGCTTTGGTATTGAGCGAAAGGCCTCGTCGGCTATGGATTATGGAGATATTCTTCTTTGATTTTACTCATTTGTTTTTAGAATTACAATAATCTTTATTCCCTATATTCGTTTGTTTGTTTGAAGTTAAGCACAAAGTTATACAATGGGCTATCTGTGCTCTGCCCATCACGGGTATCGAAACCCGGTTCTAGCATTTTAAGCCCGCAGATATACCGCTGTCCCACTGAGGGGCGTAATCATGTCTAATTACTAAAAAAAAACAGTAAAATGTTTAACTGTTTCGGCTATATTACTCGTGTCGTTCTGCTGGTTCTATTTAACCGCTGTCCCACTGAGGGGCGTAATCATGTCTAATTACTAAAAAAAAACAGTAAAATGTTTAACTGTTTCGGCTATCTAACTCGTGTCGTTCTGCTGGTTCTATTTAACCTTTTATATGTGTCTGTGTCTTCACTCTCTCTACAGACGAGTACAGTTGTTTAAAAGTGTTACTTGTCTTCACCCGAGACAAATCTTTCTACATCAGCACCGTTTTCGCCCCGGGGATCATCCTGGTTTCCAGTTCTTTCATCAGCTTCTGGTTAGAAATCAACGCTGTGCCAGCTCGCGTTATGATTGGTGTGACCACAATGTTGAATTTTTGTACTACCACCAACAGTTTCCGGTCAACATTGCCTGTGGTCTCCAGCATAACTGCGATGAACATGTGGGACGGAGTTTGTATGTTCTTTATCTACGCCTCCATGCTGGAGTTCATAGCAGTGAACTACCTGTACAGAAAACCTGGCTACCACCAATCAACGAATCGTCCAGAGTCTGCAATGAACCAGCCTTCGACGGAACCCTCGCGAATCAGTTCAGTAGTTGCCCAAGAAGGACGGAAGTTCGGAAAATATGGGGTGGTACGATTTTTGTTGTTGTTGTTTGTTTGATTCATAACCTGATGCTAAAGTATGCCGAGTTGTTGTTGTTGTTTGTTATTAAACATAAAGCTATACAAAGGGCTAACTGTGCTCTGCCCACCACGGGTATCGAAACCCGGTTTCTAGCAGTAGAAATCCGCAGACATATAGCTGTGCCACTGGGGGGCAGGTCTGCCGAGCTTAGGATTTTCATGTACACACAATTGTGCTTTGTGTAAAGATGCATTCATACCTATTGTTAATTAAAAACATAATCTCTGTGTGCCTTAACACTTATTATTTATGATGTTTTTTCATATGTTACTTTTCTTGTTTGGTTTTATACTCCTTTTTTTTTTTCTGTTTCTAATCATGTTAAAAATGTCGTTCTAATTATTAATA